TTACATTATTTTCAGTAATTGAGCCACCCTCTGAGAAACAGTTTGCAAACACAACGATTGTTTGGATGAACGTGTGTTTGTGGAGAGATTGCTGACATATGCAGCGCTAAAGCAGGCGGTGTGTTTCTCTTGAAACGGTTAGGTGTGAATAAATGTAGAGCGCCTGTCGCTGATTGATGGGCCGTATCGGGTGGTGACAAATGTCCTGTGTCTGATGGACATTTGATGTGGAGCTGTCCGATTAATCAAAACTAATCAGCCTGTGTTTCCCGAGTTTCAGTCAGGAATCCAATACCTGAAGGAACTTGAATGCATTGTGCTGAATAATTCATTTTGATTTATATAGCTTTCTTAACAAAGAAGCTTCACACAGATCTGGCTCTGAAGTAAATGCACAGCATCCCTATTCTTTTATGTTGATCTTAGTCATATTTACACTTTATATGAAATGATTTACTACAGCAGGTGAGGAAAATGGTAGCTGTAATGAGTAAAAAGTAGGTGAATATGTGTGAGTCATTTTATTAGTGGCATCCCTCCAGAAATATGTAATTCACTTTTAATGAGGGTAGTTCCTCAGCTGGAGTCAAGTAATCAGTATGGTAATTAACAGTTATCCAATAAGATGATACACACCCTGTACCCAATATATATACCAAATACCTGGCTAGTCAGTATGTTACATCATATGTTAAATCAGCTGTGCTGGAAATGAAACAAATCAATGCAATGAATTGGGGCTGGCGAGAAGAAACCTGCAATACCCCACAGGGAAATCTTTGTTCTTCAAACAAGCTCATAAAATAATGTTTAAAAAAAACAAGCTGTGTTGTTACTTTTTATAGTTAAATGGTGTTTTTAGTGGTAAAAACACAGTACTCTGTGTGTGTGTGTGTGTGTGTGTGTGTGTGTGTGTGTGTGTGTGTGTGTATATACACATATAGATAGATAGATAGATAGATAGATACACACACATCCACACATATAGTTCCATATAGCACCAAAACAAAGTAGAACCCTCTTTGGTGCTATATAGAACCATTTCATAAGTTTTTTGAAGAAGCATATACAACAGGTTTTCCAGAACTGATAACAACCATAAAACCATGTAAAGAACCATTTAAACATTCACAATTCAAAACTTTAAGTTGTTCTTGTTATATATATATTGCCATTGCGTTTACTAAAGAACCTTTAAAGAACCTCTTTGTTTAAGAGTGTAGAAATGATCTACTATTTGAAGTAATTTAAAGTGTAACCATAAATACTGGACTTCCTCCGAAGAACTTTGGAAATGGTTGAGCCAGAGGAGCCCAAATTCTTTATCTTGAGGGCTAAAATGCAATGTATATAGTAAGTAATGTAAAGGTAGGCAGGCAGGTTTACAATTGAGTGTTAAAATGTGTTTAGTAACATCACAATTTACAAGGGTAATCAGAATTGTATATATAGTTATATAGAATATTAAAAATATTTGTTCTGTCATTGAACAAGGGGGTGGGATTTGGGTAACTTTCTGGTGGGCCAAATCAAAGGTCCTCATGGGCCAGTTCAAGCCCGCAGGCCACATTTTGGCAGTTTACACACAAGTTAACACACTCAGACACATCACAATGTACTGTTTATTTGGTTATTTGTAATTTAATAAATAAAACCTACCTCCTTGCTGCCCAGACCGATAGAATTACATATCTTATCAGATGACTAAGACTTTGCACAGTACTGTCCATCTTCAGAAGTTGAGTTACAGTGGCATGTTTTGCTTGCCTTTGTCCTGCCTGCTCTTTTGGTTCTTTATGCACATTGTAATGCACTGGAGAGGAAAAAGCTTTGTCATGGAAAGCACAGTCAGGAGAGAGAAAAGCACAGGGCCCTCTGGGTAAACTTCACTAGACTTGCCTGAGGCTCGATTAGCCATTCGTCTGCTGCAGAACAGTTATGTTTCCATTGCTTAAACTCACAAGAGCTCTGTTGTTCATACAGTAGAGAAAAAGTAAGGAGAAGAAGGAGTGATGAGGGAAAGGTGCTGGTCAAAGTAGCACTGAACCTTTTTGTTCCCGTTTCTGTGGAGAAAGCAGAAGATAAAAAAAGAATATTTTATCTTTACTGTCGCATTCTATTGAGATAAATTCCTTACCTTTGAAAGGGCAGGCTTTTTCTAAAAGATCTTTGAATCAAGAAAGCTTATTAGAAGCAACAATGTCAATAAATCTAGACATTTCACATGAACAGCAAAGCCAGAAGTGTGGAATTAACCTATAAAGGGGCATTATTGCCTGAAACTAGAGTTTGATATGTTACTTGTTGTGTTTTGCAGTATTTTAGTTCAGCCTTGGTTGGACAGAATTCACGATTTTTCATATAACCTTTGGGAATCCTTGTGGTGTTAGCCAATCCTGACTGCTAGCCTAGCCACTCATCTACCGGCTCATAGATACAACTAAGCTAGCATTAGTGTAACTCTTACCTCAGGCATTGAACACAATTATAAAGAAAACAGAGATTCAATCATTTTTCAGCACAAAATGGACACCAGAGGCAAGTTTTAACCCTCTCAGCCACAGAAAGGTGTGGTATCTAGATAGCCAGATTAGCTACCTTGTTAACTTCAGCTTTTAGCTTGTTGTCCTACTCATCTATCATTTGAATAACACCTAGTTTCTCCATTGTAATAATGATTTGAAGATGGTTGCTACAGTTATGGTGGCACAGTGAGTAGCACTGTCACCTCACAGCAAGTAGGGGTTCGATTCCCCGGCTGGGCAACCAGGTCCTTCCTGTGTGGAGTTTGCATATTCTCCTTGTGTCTGCCCCCAAAAATCCACCCCAGATCACTTGTAGTTTTTAAACATTCCTCCCACCTTCAATACACATCATCTATAGTCTAGTCTTTGCACTAGAAAAACTCAACACAATACTGTGGCACCACTGTTGCATGTAAGCATGTTTAAAACAGATGTAGCGAAGGTTCAGTTTTTCATTTTGCCCAGGGTGTCCCTGTAATGTTAATTTCATATGATGTGCAGTTAATGTGGACTTAATCGAATAGCCTACTGGAAGGGTTAATTTACCTCTGGCATACCATTTAAACACAAATACGCCTCAAAGAATCAGGTCAACCCTTAGATGTTCAGAGATATTAATGTGGATTAGTTACACAACATTCTTGCATTGTGTCAGATTTACAGGCTTTATTGTGTTTTAATGCTCTGTGATTTCAGTGTAATAGCTAGTCTTCAGTGTTATGTGTATAAACCAATTCCAAAAATCAGAAAGCATGTGAAGTATAGATAAAAACAAAAAGCAATGATTTATAAATTTAGACATTGACCTGTGTTAGAATGAAAACAGCGCAAAGACAAAATATGTAATGTTTTACCTTATCAACATAATTGTTTTTTTGTAAACATACACTCATTCTGAAACTGCTACCTTCAACACGTTCCAAAGAAGTTAAGACAGGTTCAGTTTAAGACCAGAAACATTGTGAAATGTTCCATAAATGCTCTTAACAGGTGATGCAGTCATGTTTGGTTATAAAAGGAGCATACAGGAAAGGCCTAGTCCTTTATAGGCGAGGAAGGGTCAAGGCTTGGCACTTGCTGATGCCAAAAATGCATCAGCAAGAAATCCAACGGTTTAAAAATAACATTCCTCAAAGAGCAATTGCAAGGATTTTAGGTATTTCGCCCTCTACAGCGCATAATATCATCAAGAGATTCAGAGAATTTGGCAAAATCTTTGTGCAAGGATGAAAACCACAACTGAATGCTTGGCATCTTCGACCTCTGAGACCGCACAGCATTAAAAACCGACATGTTTCTGTGGTGGATACCACCACCACACGAACTCTGGAATTCTTTGACAAAAAGTTCTCAATGAACATAAACCTTTCAGATTGTTTTGGGAAATACTGGACTTAATGTTCTGTGGACCATACAAGAAAAGAACCATCCAGATTGTTACCAGTGTAAAGTTTAAAAGCCAGGCTCTGTCATGGTCTGGGGGGGTATTGTGGTTAACTTGCACATCTGTGAAGGCACCAATAACACTGAACACATTTTGGAGCAACATATGCTGCCTTCTAGATGATGTCTTTTTCAGGGACGTCCGTGGTTATTTGAACATGACAACACCAAACCACATTCTGTATGTGTTACAACAGCGCAGCTGTGTTATCAGAGAATGCGGGTTCTAGATTGCCCTGCCTGCAGTCCAGAGCTGTCTATCTTTAAAAACATTTGGAAAACGCAACACTGAATGCCCCATATGGCTACACAGCTAAAACTTGTATAACAAAAGAATGGCAAAATATTCTGCTTTCAAACTGGATCATTTGTGTCTTCACTCCACAAATGATTATTAGGTGTTGTTAAGAGGAAGGATGATGTAACAAAGTGGTAAACATGCTCGTGTCCCAACTTTTTTGGAATGTGTTACAGGCATCAAATTTGGAACGATTGTATATTTATGAAAAACAACCTTCATAAGCTAAACATAAAACATTGTTGTTTTCAATTTAGTACAGGTCAAACAGAATTTACTAATCATTGTTTTTAATAGCATTTCACATACTATCCAAACCTTTTTGGAATCGTTTTTGTATTTTAATCATGAAATAAAATCAATCAATACATTTGATTTACACTACAGAATTGCCTATATATATTTAAATATTTACATAAAGAATTACATTTAATTATGTGAAGAGTTACATTTCCATTCAGTTTACATTGACTATTGACATTGACAATACATTTTTGTCAAATTCAGATCATAATAAATATCTCCTCTTTTGCTTACAAACAAAAATATGGAATGTATCGAAAGTTTAGAATCTGTACTTTCAACAGGAATTGTTTGTTTCAATGAGCAGCGAGGGAGAAATAATTAAGCATAATATACAAAGAGGCATTTCAGTGTGCATATGTCAAGAAGGACCTAGGAGGTTACCCCCCCTGGCTGGACTCCCACTCACTGATCATTGTGTTCCCTCATAGATCTTCCACATGACGTATGACCTGGCGAGTGCTGTGATGCGGATCTTTAACCTGATCGCCATGATGCTGCTGCTGTGCCACTGGGATGGCTGCCTGCAGTTCCTGGTGCCCATGCTGCAGGATTTCCCCTCCGACTGCTGGGTCTCCCTCAATAAGATGGTGGTAAGCAGATGAGAAGAACCGAATGCATTTTTTTTCTTTTCTCTCTTTCCTGTCTTGCATCTTCCATCTAATCCTTTCTTTTGGTGACAGTTCAGCCACAAAATTACTCAATTTTCTCCTTACTCCAAACGTATTCAATGTAATTGGTGTCCATGTCATCTATAAAAATAGTTATCTATAAAAAAACAGGCCTTGTGATGGCTGTTGCTGCTTATAGCTATGAATATATAGTGGGTCCAAAAGTGTGAGACCACACTGAAAATGTAGGATTTTTTTCATTTCAACTTGGAAATTCGTTTTAACTTGAAACAAAGTAAAATGAAGACATGTTTAAGATTCTGCACAATTTTTTTGTACAAAAAGGTCAGATTTTTTCTTCAGTCTTATCTCTTCCAGTGAAGTTCATGTTCAGACAACTTTCAGGAGAATTTGATCTACTCATCAGAGGCTTTTGCACGAACTTGTGGAGTCCATGCCAGCTTGAGTGCACACTGTCTTTAAAGCAAAAGAAGTACACATAAAATACTGAGAAATTCTGAAATTCATGTTAAAATTTCAGCTACTGCTGCTCATTCAAATTGCTATGTTGATAATAGTTAATAGAATTTGTCATTGTAATTGTAATTAACTTAGAAAGGAATTTTGCCTGAATTATCACTTTAAGGAGTTCCAAACTTATCAGACTCTAGAGTTTGAATCCATCAAACCATCTCCTTATAATTCATTTCTCTTTTGTCTACATGTCTGCAGAGAACTGGAGCTTGGCACAATAGTCCGTATTCTTTTTCAGTGCATATTATGAATCTTTTTCATTGAATTCTGTCATGCAGCATGAACGTGGCTCAGTAACAATGGCTTGAAATATCCTGGGACAAGAGTAGCATTGCCAATCTGGCCCAGCATGCATTAATACAGTACAATAAAGCTCCCTGCTATGCTAATTCTAAATAGACAGATCGGTTCACCAGCAGAGCCACAAAGCAGGAGTGGCATAATTGAATTGAATTAAATAAGGTTTATTCAGCTGCCGTGGCATGGATACACAACTTAATGCTTCCAGAAGCATGGAAGATGGCTCATTGGGGGTAATTGCTGGAATTGCATGTGGCCTGCCATGCCTCGTATCGTTTACATAATGTAATTTGCTTATGTGACATGCATTTCAATTAGCATAACTGATAACTGCTGTACCTTACTTATTGAGGATGCTGGAGCATGGGCTGCAGCAGGCAGAGGAAGTTGTATACTTTTATAGCAGAAATGAGAAAAAAAGATTGAATCTACACCACTGTTCAGTTTGGAATCACCATTCAGAAGTTTTTTAACAATGTAGTCTAAGCATAAGATGCTTTGCCCAAATGTGAACAGAGCATCTGATATCTTTTGTATGCTAAGATAGCCAGAACTTTTTCATCACACTTCCATGCAGCAATTTTTTTCTGTCAGATAGGAAGCAAACTTCATGAGCAGTTATCAGCTCTGCATGCCACAACTGAGCCTTTCGGAGCAAGATATAGTCACATGATTAAAAAAAAATTTCTGAAGTTCATGACATCATGTCTTTTAATGTTATTCAAGAGTTTGGTTTTTGTTTGGTTAGTTTGCATGTCAATGTAACAACCCTTTCCTGTCAAAGTAGGTGGTTCCTGGCTCTGCTGAGAAATGAAATGCACCAGATTCTGATGATAGGCAGAAGTGTAGCTTGCGAGACTGTCAACAATATAAACTCAATTTGGTTGTGGTAGTGCTGTCGCCTCACAGCAAGAAGGGCCTGGGTTTGAGTAACCAGGGGTCTTTTCTGTGTGGTGTTTGCATGTTCTGCCGGTTTTCTCCGTAAATGTATATGTCTGTGTGTCTGCCCTGTGATGGACTGGCAGCCTGTCCAGGGTGTTTCCTGACTTCCGCCAAATGACAGCTGGGATAGGCTTCAGCTCCCCCCGCGACCCAGAAGGATAAGCGGCTAAGACATTGTGTGTGTGTGTTCCTTGAAAACCTGCAAGATACGTATTTTAAACTGGCCACTTAACATTACGTAGCAACGTACAAGGTTGCTGCAGTTTCTCATTAGGTTTAATGAGATTTTTACCAGTGTTCGGTAAAGCTTAGCTTGCAAGAGTTGCTATGATAGAATGCGTTTGTGAGCAGAGCATGGATATTTCAATTGTGTTGATGGAATCCAAGTACTGTGGAAAACTCTCAAAGCCACTTTATTTCATTTTCAATCAAAATAGCCATTTAATGCAAATTGTTCAGTTTTCAGTGTCAGGAAAAAAACAGAAAACACATATTTACCAGCACATTACACAAAAAATCCTCAATAACTAAACATAATATCACATTTTTCAGTATTTACTGTGCCCACTCTTCACCTTTATTACAGCTTCCATTCTTTTCAGGATACTTACTTTCAGTTTTTTAAGGAAATCTGCAGTGATATTTTTCCACACCTCCAAAGTTCAGTCTTAGAAGTTGGTCGCGTTTTCTGCCCCTCATGATTCAAGTAATCCCAACACTTTCAGTAATGTCTTTCTCAGTAAGGGCTTCTTGACAGCTACACATTCTTTCAGACTCATAGTGTTGAGTTGTCTTCTCACAGTGGGAGGATGGACAGAAACACCTGTGGACTGAATCAAGAGTGGAGCTTGATTTTCTCCTCTCTCTCAAAGATGAAAGCTTTAAGTACTGTTTATGTGATGGTGAAGTTCTGGTGGTCTACCAGGTCTTGCATGGTTGATGGGAGTTTTATTTTCTTTAAATCTTTTGACATTTTTTGAAGTTTTGGAAACTACTGTTTTTCTTTTCACTTATTTTCCTTTGACTTTCTTCTTCCTTATGTGAGTGTCAAATCTTATATATAACCTCCTCAGAAACATCTCCTGAAAAACAATGAACTAGAACATAGTGGCTGTTTTGGACTGGAAATAAATCAGATTTAAGTGAAGATTTCAAGAGAAAATATTGTAACTTCAGTGCAGAATAAGACACAGGAAACCTTGTGCTGCTGAAGGGGCCGAGTCAGCAGCCATAGACATACTGCCATATACTCTCCTGACAGGAGACACCAACACTGCACCAACTACCCCACAGCCCAGCACAGAATAACACAAACAAACATGCACATGTGTTAAGCTAACAACAACAACTTATTTACAATAAAAATCTCTCCTTCCACAAGTGCGGTGCTTCCCTGTACATGGCCTCTCTGCGTGGCCACAGCAGTGCGGCCAGTAGTGGGACGCTATGATATGCTTTTCTTCTTTGTTTTTCATTCTTTTCGTTTAATCTCCTCACATTTTTTCCTCTGATATTTATGGCTATGATGAGTGGAGTGATGAACAGGGGAAAATGTGTAAATGTATGTGTGTGTGTGTGTGGTGTAACATGTGGTGGTGTTTGGCATGGGGGTGAAGAGAGGCAGAGTGATGACAGCAGAGATAAAAGAGTCTGTGTACTTGTGTCTATCTATCTGTGTGTGTGTGTTTATGTGTATGTGTGAGTATGTGTGTGTGTGTATGTGTGTGTGTGGTGGGGGTGTGGACGTGCCAGAGCAGCTGCTCTTTTTATTCATCCTTCTAACACACATGAAAGAACTTCTTTATCGGCCCAGGACAGCACACACACACACACACACACACACACACACACACACACACACACACATGCACACACACACCAACCCCTCTGATTTCCACTCATGTTTCAGTGATGACTGATATCTGTCTGTCTATGTAACTGTAAATATTTCTGCATCATTTTATCAAATTGAACTCATTCAGTTTTTATAACTCACAGGTTGTAGAAAGTGCTTCCTTTGAAGGCGTCATTTTTAAAATACTTTTGAGGGAAAAAAAACACTGATTTGAAAATGTTGTTCATCTAAATACAGAAGAATTTACAGTCTGAAGTGCATACAGTGAAGCCTGATGTACAGTTGTATATGTACAGTTATGTACATATACTGTATATGTACAGTTTTACTAGTATAAATTATAAAACTAAATTTAGTCACTAAAGCTAGTTGGGTAAGACTTCATAATAATAGGTCCTAATCATCATCAACTTAATAATTATCAAAGAGTTTGTAGATGACTGTTAATAATTATATAACAGTTGTGCATATGAATTAATAATTGGCACCATTTGAATTATGAACTGTTTACATAGTAGTAGGCAGATAATCAATCATTACTTTGAATGGTAGAAATCATCATTTGAAAATTAGATTTTATTGTCAAATCATTTATTACAGTTTGTTAACAATGATTTATTTATTTCGTTGCCCAAACGACCTCATACTTTAGACGATCCAGTGACATTGGGAGAAAAAATATAAATAGAACTAAACGTATCCAGCTTGGAACCATTTAGTGCCGATTTTTGGAAATCCCATTCATTTTTGCCATATGGCAATCTGGCTTAGAACTGGAGTTTCACCGAATACAGAGAGACGACTTCAGAGGCGTATTGCCCAATAGGTCTATCGCCCTGCTCCACTGTTCCTCCTGACTGTAGCAGCTGAGATGAGCTGTGCTAGTCACTAGTACAGGCTTCTACTTTGATAGCCATGGTGAGCAAAAATCAGAGACAATCACAGTCTTCAACCACTCCTCTAGACTGTTTACTGTTAGTGCTGTACAAGGTAGGACTCTGGTGTTAAATACAAGGTCAGCAGTTTAAAATGTTATTTTTTTCTTGTTGACTGTAGAAGCTATAATAAAGTTGGCTAGCTGGCTAGCTGTTGGTGGTCATCCTCACTATAATGATGTCTTTGGGGCGTAATGCATCGTAGCTATGCCACTGGCATAGTTTTGGCAATTATGTCACCTATAATACATTGCTGCTGTCAGAGCAAACTTTACTTTACTTTTAATGTAAGTCAATGGAACCAGACTTTTTTCCAATTTTGGGCCATTTCTTTGGGTCCATTCATCATGAAATTTACACACAACATAAAGGGCAACAGGCATTTTCAAATCATGTCAAAAGGTGAAAAACAACAA